CATTCCAGCCTGAGGCCCAGTGGAGAGGCCAGAGATTAAGGTGTGAATCATCCCGGCTGGTGGAAAACGAGAATTCCAGAGCAAGAGAGGATCAGGGCTGCCCCCAGCCCAGCCACCACCAGGGCAAGCAGCATTCTCCTTCCCGCCACACATCTTCAACGACCCAGAACCTCAGGTCCTGCAGAAACGAACTAGGATTTCTATTTTCACCTCCCTCGAATTCCCCATTCCCACCGAATAACTGAAATAAAAAGAAACCTTCTTGAGAAATAACAAGACTATCCTTCACTGAACACCTGTACTGGCTTTTGCGAAGCACTTAGCACACATCATCTCATTGTTCATTCTCACAAGACCGTACGTGGTACGTGCGATGACTAACTCCGTTTTACCGGTGAGAAACGCGGGCACAAAGGAGCTCAGCACCTCAGGGCTAACAGGCCGCCTCGCAGGGATCTGAACCCAGGTGCGCCCAAGTTCGCAGAGGGCTGCAGGGAGGTTTCAAGAAAAGGAAAATCGGAGATGGAGGGAAATACCGCCTCAGGCATTCTCTCAAACGTCCGCTCCCTCCAGCTGCTGCCCAGACCACTCCATCTTAGACATCCTCTAAAACTCACAACCGCCAATCCGATCTCGTCCTTCTACTTATCTCTAAAATGCTTCTTTTTTTTTTTTTAATCCTCACCCAAGGATATGTTTTCGTTGATTTTAGAGAGAAGGGAAAGGGGAAGAAGAGAAACACTGATGTAAGAGAGGAGCATCAACTGGTTGCCTCCCTTACACGCAGCTGCCCCGCCTGATGACGGCCACTCCTTCCCCCCTCCCCCCGCCCCCCACAAAAAGCCTTCTGTACACAGGACTACTGAGCCAGGCTACAATGCTTTCTAGTTCAATCATTGGCCTTGCTCATTGTCAGCTTCCCCCACTACAAGTCCACTGCACAGGTCAATGGCAGTTGTGTATTGATATTTTGTTCACCGCTGCGTTTCCTGCGTCTAGCATTCGCATGTAATAGGTGCCAAATAAATAACGAGTGTGTGAATGCACAAATGCTTTAAAACAGAACTAAGAGACATGAGTATGGAAGAAAAAGAGAGCGATCCAACTATTCACGGGGAGAAAGGGGATGAGAAAAGATAGCGGGAGAATCTGGCCAGGGGCCAGCTGGGGGCCCCAAGAGGAGCCTCACAGGAGGAAACAAGGGTCTGCCAGGCCCTCCAGGAGAGGCTTCCTGCCGCCCGAGTGAGTTCCAGCGGCCAGGCCCCAGCCTGAGGGCTTCTGCCGGGGAGGGCGGGCCTGGAACAAAGGCCTGCGGGCCTGCAGCTGGCCGGAGAGGGGGGGCAGAGCAGCCATCGGGGCCAGAGGGGCAGCCTGGGATGGGGGGAGGGGGGCAAACGAGGAGCCCAAAACAGCCCTCGGTGCCGCAGGAAAGGCAACGCATTCCCAAAGCCAGAGTCCTCGGCACCCCCGGCATCCACCCCGAACACAACAGCAAACAGCTAGATGGCTCCACAGTTAGCCCTTCCAGGTCAGCTCCAGCCTAGGCTTGTAGCAACACTCCGGGCCTGGAGCCAGAGCCTTCCCAAGGTTCCGAGTGGGGAGGGAGGGGCCAGCCCAGTCCTTTCCCCTCCAACCCTGGTCAGCTCCCAGGCCATGGCCTTTGGCCTCCTCCAGTGTAAACAGTGACCCAGAGATTTGGTGAAGCAAATGTTTGCTCTGGAGCTGAGATACTACCGGCCAGCGGTGCAAACTTCCACCGTTGGCTTCTGGGGTCTACCCTTCCGTGCGGCACATGTGGGCCCACCCCAGGAAATCCTAAGGCTCTGGAGAGGGCCCCTCTCAGGCACAGCGGAGCCCTTACTTTGTACAGGAATGTATGGAGCACTCTCCACATTCGTGGCTTCACCGGAGTCTACCTCACCCCAGCCTCTATAAGGAAGAGCAGGCACGCACCCCATGTGGAAACTGAGTCAAAAAAAAGACAAGTGACTTGCCCAAGTCATGTTGGGGGGGAAAGCACGATTAGCCAGAGTGAGCGAACCTGAGTGCAGGCTCAAATCACCTTCCATCTCTGAGCTCTGCTGTCTTCACGTAAATGCCACTGGTCGTCAAACTCATTAGTCAGCAGAGCCAAATATCAACAGTACAATGATTTAATTTCTTTGGAGAGCCAAATTTTTTAAACTTAAACTTCTTCTAACACCACTTCTTCAAAATAGACTCACTCAGGCCGTGGTATTTTGTGGAAGAGCCACACTCAAGGGGCCAAAGAGCCGCATGTGGCTCTCGAGCCACAGTTTGCCAATCACTGGAATAGGCAAATCAGAGATGCCTTCCAGCCCAAGAGACTATTAGTCTTTGATGGGATGCGGTAGAGACGGGACTAAAAGTCGGACAGAATCCTCTGCTGGACTCCCAGGCTGGAGCTCCTAGAGCTCTTTCCATCCTCCTGCTAGACCACGTCGTCTGTTTTCTTTTTTCCTTAGCTAAGAATTCCTGCGTGGGGCTCTGGAGGTGGGTGTGGGTGTGTGTGGGGGGGGGGGGTGAGAGAGAGAGACAGACAGACACCGACCTATGCCACTTCTAATGAAAGGCAGTAGAAAGGCTCCCAAGCTCTTACACAAACCCCTCCCTCTGCTTCTTGGTTTGCCCCATACCCAGAACCAGATACCCAGGGAGCCGGAGGATTGTCCAATTCTCTCGGAAAAGGGGGGGCGGGGGGGAGGTAGAATAGGGTTATCAGCAGCTGTGGGAGGAGATGTGGTGTCCCAGGACGGCAGGGAAGGGGTGAAGAACAGAGGGACGGGGTACACCTTCCTCTGGTTCTTACTCCCTAGGTTTTCTGCTAGGAAAGGAGGAGATGAGGTACCCCCAGCTAAGTCCCTCAGCAGTCCACTCCCAGCCCAGCCGAGGAGGGGCTGGAAAGACACCGCCCTCAAGGGAGGCAAGTGATCTGCTCAGCAGGAAGCCCACGGAGGCTGTCACCTCTCTCCCTGCTTATTATTTCTTGAGCAAGGTCAGTGTGACTGGGCTGCGTGCAGAGGCAGGGATGGTGGGACTCTGGGCATCTGTAGGGTGCTGCGGTCTGGGTCCCCTCCTGGGGAGCCCCCAGAGCAGGGGACAGGCCCCTTCACCCGCCAACAGTTTAGAGTGACCTCAGAGATGAAACTCCAACCACTGCCCGTCACATCGTCACACACACACACACACACCCAGGCCACACCTCTCCAGCCTCCCACCCTTCGAATCCCCACTCCGTTCTTCCTTTTGTTTTCAAAAAGCAGCTCCACAGAGTAATCGCAGCTCCTTAAACATGTTGGAGTCTGCACGCCTTATCCCAGCTTCCCAACCCAAGGGCTGCTGCGAACGCGGAGCAAATGAGCCAAACCGATTCCTGGGGTGGGCGAGGTCGCGGTGGACGGTGATTTCCGCTCCCGAGCACCCCACTCCTGGCACCCGCTCTAACCCGTTCCAGGAGCCGGCGCCGTGTGGCACCATCCGGACCCGGCTGCCGGCGCCTCCCGGGCTCCCGGGACCAGAGGCTCCGCTCCGGTCCTTCCCGGGAGCGTGCGCCCCGCCGGCCCGCCGTCCGGGGCGAGGACCACACCGCGGGCGACCGAGCGCGCAGGGGGCGCGGAGAGGGGCGCAGCCTCGCGGGCTCCCCGGGTTTTCGGCGGAGCCTCTCGAGCCCCCCCACCCCCGGCGCGTTCGCTCCTTTTGTTTCCGGGGTGGGGGGGCTGGAGGACGGGAAACGTCTCCTTGCAAGAGCCTCCCGCGCTCCAGCCCGGAGCCGGGAGCGGGAGGGTCGCCCCGGGAAGAGCCAAGGCAGCCCGGGGCCTCCCGATGCCCACCGAGTCCGGGTCCGCGTCCTCCCCCGCGCGGGGCTGGGCGGGCGGGGGGAGCTCGCGGGGACCCCGGGCACCGCTCCTGCACCGGCGGCACCGGCGGAGGAGGGAGAGGGGGCAGCCGGAGGGCACTCACCGAGCGGCGGCCGTCCGCGGGTCCCGCACGCCCGGTGCGCGAGGCGGCTGCCCAGGCGGCAGCGGCGGCGACGCGGGCGCGAGTTTGAAAGGCGCAGGCGGAAGGGGCCGAGGCTGCCGGCCGCGCCGCCCACTCCACCCGCGGCCCCGGGACTCCGCCGCGGCTCCCAGCGCCCGGCAGGCAGGAAGTCGGGGCCGGGCGGGCTGCGGCGGGAGGGAGGGGAGAGGGAAAGAGGGCGGAGGGAGGGGCGGCCAGGAATGTTCCCAGTGGGTGGAGACTCGGCCGCTGCGGGAAGCCGGCCCTCGGCGGCGCGGCGGGGGCCCGGGAGACTTGGAGCCGGGGGTGGGGGCTGCGGGGGGGTCCGGGGAGCCCCGCCGGCAGGTGGGCGGACGGCGGCCCCGCCACGTCCAGCGCGCAGGCCGCTCCCGTGCAGCCTCGATGCGCCCAGATTCGAACGCGCACGTGGTGGGGTCACCCCGGTGTCACATTCCTGATGGCACCGCCTCCCGATGGGCCCCGGACCGCCCAGACGTCCCTCCGTTGCACGCACAGGAAAAGGGGCTTCCGGTGGGGGTCCGATCTGGGTGGGGGGGGGGGATCCTGAACCCCCACCAGAGCCGGTCAGATCGACCCCTCTGAGGCAGAAAGGCACGACTTGAATTCTTCACTGAAACTAGGTTCCCGTGACCCTTTTCCTGGTGCAAATCCGAGCCTGCGAGAAGCTGGCGGGAGACGAAGCCGATTTCTGGGTCCTTCGAGAGACGGGGGTGGAGAGGGGAGATGCAGAACCTACGGCAGTAGAGGACCCATTTGTGAAAAACCAAGGCGGATCCTCTGTGTGTCTGTGTGTAATCAGTAATCACACAGGCATGGGAAGATACACACCGGACAGGGGGTAGGGGACAGGGGCAGGCTGGGTTTGGAGCAAGAGCGTGCATTTAAAAACCCGAACTAATGCAGCAATAAAGGTCCCCGATAAAAGGATGAAAGATGCTGTCCCAGCCCCGGCTAGAGGGAGAAGCCCAGGTGGGAGCCTGGAAGAGGTCCTTCATACAGGTTAAGCGTCCAAGCCAGTTCCAAAGGAGGAGGGAAGGGACGCTGGTGTCAGAACCACTGGGTGCATTTCATATCCGGGTGCAGACAAGTGTGCATAGTAAACGGTGCTTGGAGAATTCTTAAAAGCAAAACAAGCCCCCCCCCCCAAAAAAATTTTTAAATTTAAAAAAGCTGCTCCAGGTAAAAGCAAGCTCCAGCAGATTTGCTGGGAGGGGCGGGGCGGCCGGGGAGGAAATGGCTTTCAGGTGACTTTGAAACAGGATCCGGACGGAGGTGAGGGAAGGCGGCGGGGCCCCGGCTGCGGGGGAGGAGGCTGCGCCGGCCTCGCGGCCGGGGACGCGGACCCACATTCCTCAGGGAGGAGGGTCTGCGCCGCCCCGCGGAGCCCCGCGGAGCCCAGCACCGGCCACTGGGAAGGTGAAAGTCGAGAATGTGGAAGGGGACTCGGAGGTAAACAGCCGCCGCGGCTCGACCAGATGCAGCCGGCCAGGCTCCGGGCTGGAGGACAATTTGAGGAGGCCCGGTCCATCCTCAGGCCTCCGCTTTCTTTGATCCCGCTTTCTTTTCTCTGATCACCGGGATCCCACTAGTACCTTCCTGCCCACCTGGTATTCCAGCTTCCTGAGAATTAGTTGTGATTCAACTAATCCTTGAGCGCGCACCCCTAACTCCTCCACCGGGGCGGGAAATAGTGTTAATGACTGTGACAATAATTCATTTAGCGTATGCTTACCGTTTGTAGGTACTATGCGGTTTACGTTATCTCCCACCGTCCTCACAGCCGCCTAGGTAGCCAGTAACTTATCTTTGTGCCCATTTTACAGATTGGATAACTGAGGATGGGAGGGTTCTAGCCAACTTGGCCAAGATTGTGTAACCAACAAAAGGAGTGCAAGACAAAATCCCAGGTAGGCCCACGTTGAGTGCTTCCTATGTGCTAGCCATTATTCTAAGCCCTTGAAACCAACAGTTGCAGTCATAAAGAAAAAGAACTGAGAAGCCAAGGTCGGTGATACACCTGGGATGCATAATGGGACCACTGCTCTTCACCACCATGTAGTCTTTCTTTTTTCTTTTTTTAATATATTTTATTGAGTTTTTAGAGAGAGGGATAGAGAGTTAGAAACATCAATGAGAGAGAAACATTGATCAGCCGCCTCCTGCACACCTCCTACTGGGGATGTGCCCGCAACCAAGTTACATCAAGTTACATGCCCTTGACCGGAATCGAACCTGGGACCTTTCAGTCCACAGGCAGCCGCTCTGTCCACTGAGCCAAACCGGTTTTGGCTAGGTTTATATATATATATATATATATATATATATATATATATATATATATATATACACACACACATATATATATATATATATATATATATATATATATATATTTTTTTTTTTTTTTGTACAGAGAGGAAGGGAGAAAGTTAGAAACACCGATGAGTCATCAATCAGCTGCCTCTTGCACACCCCCTACTGGGGATATGCCTGCAACCAAGGTAAATGCCCTTGACCAGAATCGAACCTGGGACCTTTCATTCTACAGGCCGCTGCTCTATCCACTGCGCCAAACCGGTTTGGCCTAGTTTTTCTTTTTGATACTTATTATATTCAATTCAGCATTTGATTATAATGTCTTACATTGTTTCTAGTAGTAGTACACACACACACACACACACACACACACACACACACGGTTTATTTCCAAAAAAGGGTGTCATGTCTCCTTGCAGACGCACTCAGTAAAGTAATGCTGAATCAGATGAAATAACCCGAACTTTTTGGGAGAAATCTCCAATCTCACCTCTAAGAATAAAAACCTGAGTCTGGGCCCAGGAGCTCTGGGCTGCAGCTCCTCTATCCACAACTCACAGCCCCTCCTTCCTGCCCCTGTCCATTCTTGCTTTAGTAGCTTCACTCTCCCTGCTATTAAATCATTTATTGTTATAATAATACCTTGTGCCTCCGAAATGTCTTTTAAGATCTCAGTGTTCTAACAAATACAGATTAAGTCATCTTCACAGTGCCCCCGCTGACATGGGGAGACAGAGGTATGTCCCCCACTTTATGGGCGAGAAAAAACGAAGACAACATAGAGTAGAAATGACTCACCATGGAGATCAATGGCGTGGTTTCTTCTCTGGGCCCGTCCCCTCCTCCTTCCAAACTCTAGGCTGCCAACATTTGCATCAAAATTTCAAATTCCAGAGACAAAGGCCATTGAGTTTTCACAATAAAGGACATTTGCAAACTGTCATTTCAGCTGCTCTATTGTGGTAGACCTCAGGAGTGGGAGGGGTGTAAACACTGCGAAGGTCCCCGGGGACTCTGTGCATCCAGCCCTGAGAAGGCGCCTCCGCTGGCCCGGATGGGGAGCCGAAGGCCCACACTTGGAGATTTCCTGTCAAAGGTGACTTAGCAATGTTTCTCAAAGTGTGAGCCACAAGTAACAGAATCAAACATCATCAGCATTTACCACATGTATGCCTCAAAGGACATATCAGGATGGCAAAGAATGGGAAAAAGTTTTTGCAAATCAAATATTCTGAATAAAGTCTCTTATATCTAATAAGAGACTTTATTCAGAATATGTCAAGAATTCCTACAACCTCACCCTAGCTGGTTTGGATCAGTGGATAGAGTGTCGGCCTGTGGACTGAAGGGTCCCAGGTTCCATTCCGGTCAAGGGCATGTACCTTGGTTGTGGGCACATCCCCAGTGGGGGGTGTGCAGGAGGAAGCTGATAGATGTTTTTCTCTCATTGATGTTTCTAACTCTCTATCCCTCTCCCTCTCTGTAAAAAGACAAATATATATATATATATATTTTTTTTTTAAAGGAATTCCTACAACTCAATAATAAAAAGGCAAATAACCCAATTTAAAAATGGGCAAAGGATCTAAATAGACATTTCTCCAAAGAAGATATACAAATGGCCAATAAGTATGTGAAAACATGTTCAGCATCATTAGCCTCTACGAAAATGCATACTTAAAAAACAACAACAATGAAATATCACTTTAAATCCCTTAGGGTGGCTAAAATAAAAAACAATAATAAAGGTTAATGAGAATGTGAGGAAATTAGAACTCTCATACACTAATGGTGAATGAACTTTGGAAAACAGTTCCTGAAAAGGTTAAACGTAGAGTTGCCACACAACCCAGCAATTTCACTCCTAGATATCTGCACAAGAAAAATGAAAACATCTGTCCAGGCTCTAGCCGGTTTGGATCAGTAGGTAGAGCATTAGCCTAAGGACTGAAGGGTCCCAGGTTCGATTCCAGTCAAGGGCATATGCCAGAGTTGCAGGCTCAATCCCCAGTTGGGGGCGTGCAGGAAGCAGCTGATCAGTGATTCTCTCTCATCATTGATGTTTCTATCGCTCCTTCCTTCCTCTCTAAAATCAATAAAAATATATTAAAAGAAGAAAAATAAAGCACCTGCCCACAGAAAACCTTGCACATGAATGTTCATAGTAACATTATTCATAATAGCCAAAAGGTAGAAACATGACAAATGTCCATAAGCTGATACACAGAACGTATATCCATACAATGGAATATCATTCAGTCACGAGAGGAGTGAAGTTCTCATTCCTACTACAACATAGGTGAGCTTTAAAGAGATGATGCTAAGTGAAAGGCTGCACATGTATGATCCCATTTATGAACTGTCCAAAATAGGCACAAAAAAAAAAAAAAAAAAAAAAAAGATCAGAGCTGGGGAGTTTAAAGGAAAAGGGAATGACTGCTAACAGGTTTGGGATTTCTTTTAGGAGTAATACAATACTAAAAATATTTACTATGCTAATGGATGAATTGTGTGCTATGTGAAATATATCTCAATAAATCTGTTATTTTTTTTAAAGTGTGGCTCAGTTGATTGGAGCATCATCCCATACACGAAAAGGTTAAGGGTCCAATTCCCGGTCAGAGCACATACCCAGGTTTCGGGTTTGATGCCCCATTGGGGCACCTGTAGGAGGCAACTGATGGACGTTTCTCTCACACCTATGTTTTTCTCTCTCTCATTCTCTCTCTCCCTTCCTCTAAAATATATATATATATATATATATCAATTTTTTTAAAAGGGTTATTTCTTTAAAAAAGTAAAAATGTGTGGGTCACTCCCACCTGTTCCAGAGTTACCCAGGCTACTTGTAATCGGAATCCTATTAGGACCCAAGCCTGCATTTCCCCAGAGCATGCTGAATGAAGTTCAATGTAATGTATGCCTTACAAGACCTTGATTCAGAGCCTTGTGGCCCCCGGGGTTCCTGAAATGAATGAAATGAAATGTCTGGAACCAACTCCGAGAGGGCAGTGACCTCTGAGGTGGGGTGCGGGTGGGAGTCCCACTCCTTATCAATAGCTTCTTTCCTGCAGTCTGGACTCCCCGGTGTCAGAAAAATCTGACATCAGAAAGGGGAAGACGTGGGGGGAGGGAGAGGAAGACTTCCCTCCTCACTGCATTCAGGCTGCCAGCCAAGGGCCGGCCGTGAGGAGCCCTTGAAGGAAATGAGCTGTTTGTTTGAGTTTTTGTCTGTAACTGGAACATTTGCCAATCACTTGTGGTTTTTCAAGAACCTGGGAACCACGTGTGAACCATTTCTGGAGATCACTTATGCTCACCTGCGTTATCTGGAGATAAGGGACTGTGTATCGGCGTTTACAACGCCTGAGATCAGGGAGCTGGAACTCAGACGCCAGCCTTCGATGATCCAGCCGATGAGACAAGCTTTTTCTTCTCTGACTTCAAGCCCCTGCGCCAGACATTTTTTCTGTGTGACCCCCACCCCCACCCCCGGCTGTAGATGAATGAAGTGTCACAGGAAGCCGTCCAGCTTTACCCAGCTTAAAGCTAGCATGAAAGATCTTAGAAATGATGGACTGAAATGAGGTTGTCTGTGTACCTCCTTTATCACTGTCAGTAACATCCCAGGGTCCGAAAGCGTTCCACTTCCACCTGAGATGTTCAGGCCTCAGCACTCGCAAAGTTCCTGACTCAGGACTCTGCATGGTTAATGGTAAGTGATTCATAGGCAGGAGAGGACCAGCCACAGACCACACTTTGCAAAACACTGGTCTGAATTCTGCCTTGTGTCTTTCTTTTCCCCCTCCTGGTGCTTCCTCTTCCTCCCCTGACACTGGACTCAAAATAAAAACCCTGCAGTCCCTCCCAGGGCTCTGGAGATACAAGGGCCTGGCTGATCCTGCTGGATAAGTGAGGCTATTAGCGTTAACCAGGTGGAAGAGTTCCACCATGATTCATTGGAAAGACTTAATCTTCTCCAACACCTTGGTGTTAAGCAGGGTGGGCACACCCACCGGGACTGTACTGTAACCCTCCGCAAACAAATTAATGAGAGCTTAATGGGAGGTAATTGCCCAGTTACTTGCAGACAGAGGCAGTTCTTCCAGGCTGTAATTTTGACAGTTGATGTTTTCTTCCTAACTGGTTCCCAGCCCTGACTCCTCTATCCCGTCGGAAGAGGCCAGAGCAGCTGTGCCAAGGAAGCAGCGGGCCCCAGGTCTGCACACCCTTCCTTTGGTTTCTGTGCCAGACCCTAGAGGAAACAGGGGCCCAGATGAGGGCAACTGGGACCCAGTCCGTCTGGTTTCTGAAGTCCCCAGGGGGAATGTGGGACGGGCCCAAGGTGAATGGGGTAAGTGTTTACCTGAGCAGTGAGCAGGCTCACACTCCCCACCCAGTCCATTCCTATCCTTGGCTGCCAGGCAATCCCATCCCTCCACACATGGTGCTCTGTGGAGGTCGCCTGCTTCACTCCATTTTCTCTCTCCTGCTAGTAACTTTCTCTCTCCGTCTTAGAAGAGTCCCAGTGTCGCCTGCAATCCTAGAAATATTGGGTTCTACCATCTTAAGAAACCCCTAACTGGACCTTGCAGCTACAGCAAGCTCTTCTTTCCTTCCATCTGCACGCTTACCTGGGGAGGAAAGCCTGTCTTCATAACTCCCAATGGATGCTAAGATCCAAACATCCTTATCCCAGGCCTGCGGTTGTCCTGCCAGGCAGATGATGGGGCCAGTGTCATGCCAGGAGCAGCACTGAGTGCTCCACCAGCATTCTCATTCCATCCTCCTGTTACCAGAAAGGGAACTGGCCCTAGTGGGTCTGCTTAGGACCAGCCAAATAGTGTTGTAAATTCTTGACTTCGTGCAGGAAAAATTTCACAACGTGAGTCCAAATGTTTTATTTTTATTGATTTCTGAGAGGGAGGGAGGGAGGGAGGGAGGCAGAGAAAGAGAGAGAGAGAGAGAGAGAGAGAGAGAGAGAGAGAGAGAGAGAGAGAGAATGAGAGCCATTGGTAGGCTGCCTCCTGCACACCTCCTGCTGGGGATTGAGCCTGCAACCTGGGCATCTGCCCAGACGGGAATTGAACAGTGGCCTCCTGGTTCATAGATTGACACTCAAGTATTGAGCCACATGGGCCAGGCAAGCCCAGGTGAATTTTAGAGGACATTTATTAAAGCTGGGGACAGTGAGCCCTAGCCAGTTTGGCTCGGTAGTCAGAGCATCGGCCCATGGACCGGTCAAGGGCATGTACCTCAGTTGCAGGCTCAATCCCAGCCTGGCTGAGTGGGAGGCAAGCAATCTTTGTGTCTCTCACATCAATGTTTCTCTCTCTCTTCCTCCTCATCCCTCCCTTCCACCCTCTCTAAAATCAATGGGAAAATATCCTCCAATAAGGATTTTAAAAATAAAAACTTTTTTTAAAAAAAGCTGAGGACACCCTGACTGGTCTGGCTCAGTGGAGAGAGTGTTAGCCTGTGGACTCAAGGGTCCCGGGTTCAATTCCAGTCAAGGGCATGTACCTTGGTTGCAGGCACATCCCCAGTGGGGAGATGTAGGAGGCAGCTGATCGATGCTTCTCTCTAATCAATGTTTCTGACTCTCTAACCCTCTCCCTTTCTCTCTGTAAAAAAATCAATAAAATATATATTTTTAAAAAGCTGGGAACAATGAAACAAGAAGGCCTACAGAAGAACTAGGTGAGGAAATGGGCCTACACTGGTCTGCTTTGGGTCACTAAGAAGTCAGAGAAGGCTCTGGCCGGGCAACTCGGTTAGTTAGAGCATTGCCCTGATACACCAAGGTTGTTGGTTCGAGTCCCAGTCAGGACACATACAAGAAGCAACCAATAATGCATAAATGAGACAAACGAAAAAAAAAAAAAAAAAAGTCAGAGGAAAAAGGGTTTTGGGAACTGCCAGGACAAACTGCCAAGACCCTAGTAGAGTTTAGGAGATGCATGCCTTTGAGGGAAGAAGAAAGGTGAGGGTGTACTGGAGGGAGAGCAGAGTGCACCTTGACCTTTGTTTGGAGGGGGTTTGAAGGCTGGGCATTTAAGGGAGATCTTAGGGGAGGATCAACAGGATATTCATCAGCTGTATGCTGAGGTACCACTGCTATCCTCTTAACTTCCTCTGTGCTTGGGTGTGGTTGGCAAATACCATAGCGTTGATTGGGTTTCTGTTATCTGTCTCCCTGCATAGGGTGATTTAAGCTATTTGCCCTCAGGTTGGGGAGAAGTGCAAACCATTTAAGCATCCCAGGTTTAGGGGGGATAGGACTTACTAGATGGCTGCAAACTGGTGTTTAACTGTCTCCGTTTCCCTATTCTGCTTGTCCTGGCTTACTAGCTCGTCTCACCTTCACCAATCCTTTGAAGCAGTTAACAGTTCCCTCCCATTTTACAGATGAGAACATCAAGTCTCAGAGAGGCCAAGTCCCATGTCCCAGGTCATGTGGCTCTTTAATGGCAAACTCGAGACCTGTGCAGACCCTCTGCAGCCTGAACCGTGCTCTTACCCAACATCCTGCCACCAAAACACCCCACCGCAGATTCCTAGGAGCAGAGAGACCTGAGCAGAGGAAGTGAGCGCAGCTTCACCGAACTGAAACTGGAATCTTGGGGGTAAAATAGGACAGGTTTAGGAAATATTAGGGGACCATGGAGGAAGCACAAATTCCTTCACTGCTAATATATTAATCGTTCCTGCACCCACCAAAGTATGGGCCTATCATTTTACTTCTTATCCAATCCCAGAGGTTTCCTGGCTTTGCTTTCTCCCTCCTCTCTAGTCTATCACCAGTGGATTTCATGTAACCCACCTATGGCCCCTCCTTTGATTGCAAAGTACACAATAGGTGAGAAACCTCCATTCTCTGGAGCACGGTCCCAATCCGTGGAGATGTTGCTTCCTGGCAGTTGTGACAGTTTGGCTCAAATAAACTCACAAAAATTCTTTACCAGTTTGAATGTTTTTTATGTTAACACCACAGAGGCAGAAGTAATTCATTGAAGAAATGGGTTTAGAAAACAAGTAAAGGAAGGGTCCTTGGAGCTTGGGAGGAGGAAGAAATGATAATGAGCCTGGGGGCGGGGAAAGGGGAGAGGTGAAGGCTTGGGTGTGTTGCCAGGAGGGAGATGGCCTTGGGTCCATGTCCTAAGGAAGTTAAGGGTGAGGTTTTAGGGGAAGTCCCAGGGGAAGGTCGCAATAGAATATTCAGCAGCTTTCCTGGTGTGTCCAGGTCTCCACTGATGGATTGGTCTGCATCAGGGGTCATTATTTAGTGCAGTTGGTCCCAAGGTCAGTGTTGGTGTCACTGGTTTTGCTGCTTTCCTGGACCTGGAGCTGAAATATAGCTGAGGCCTAGATGTTATCTCTAGGAAAGAAAGGTCCGAGGGTCCAACAGCATGACCAGCCATGCTAAGGGGGGGAAAGACCACAGTGGGGGCGAGGTCCTGCCATTGTCCTTTGCTGGACACCTGGAGCTTTCTCCGTCCTGGTGACCTCTGTACCTGGCCCATCGTCCCAGCTCCGCGCATGCCCGTTTAACTGCCTACCACACAAGGGAGAATGTGTTCAGGGTCACCAAGCTGATGAGAGAGGGGGAAAAAGCAAGTCTGTAAATATTTGTGACATTTCAGCCAGACAGCTATAAAAGGTAAGGCAGGGCCTTTGCCTAGCAACCACTGACTTTTGAGTCCTAATCATAGTTCCCAAGAAATAGTCCTGCTGCTAGAACTCAGAACATCCTGTCCTGCCTGCCCCTGGGAGACTGAGCAGGGAGCAGAGCTGAGGTTTACCAAGAGCAGCTGAAAGGAGGGGGCGGTGGCCTCCTGCTGGCTCAGGGACTCCTGCAGAATCGCCTCCAGAAGCTCCCTCAGCCCCAGTTGCCAGGAGTGCCACCCCTCCTCACAGCCGCTGTTTCTCTGGCCATGCTCCCTCCCTCGCCCTCCCCCAGCTCACCTGCATCCCTGTGGAAAGGCAAGGCATCGGACCTGGACGGAGGGCTACGCTGTCCCCCTGGAAGCATGGAGCTGCTGTGAGCACAGGCTTTTGAGTCAGCACACCTGGATGCACATCTGAGCCTGTTTCCTCATTTGAAGCAGGGTCAGTAGTAGTGCCTATCTCGTAGGGTATTATTCAGGAATAGGTGAGAAAATATTTGAAAGGTACTTAGCACAGTTCCTAGTCCACAGAAAGAGGTAACTAGGAATGAAAGTTTTTGTTTTGCTGAAATAGGTTTGGCTCAGTGGATAGAGCGTCGGTCTCGGAACTGAAAGGTCCCAGGTTTGATTCCGGTCATGTACATTGATTGTGGGCACATCCCTAGTAGGGAGTGTGTAAGAGGCAGCTGATCGATGTCTCTCTCTCATCAATGTTTCTAGCTCTCTGTCCCTTTCCCTTCCTCTCTGTAAAAAATCAATAAAATATATATTAAAAAAAAGTTTTTGTTTCTACTTTCAAGTGTTATCCTAGTTTCACTCATGCCTCACCATGATGTTGCATCTTATAACTGGAAGAGGCCCTGAAGTCACCTAGCATTAGAATATTTCTCTCTATGTAATTTTCACACACACACACACATTTACTGAGATAATATCAATAAAGCACTTAGCATGTGCCTGGGATAAGTCAATGCTTAATAAGTGTTAGGTTTGTGATAGTTAATTTTATGTGTCAACGTGGCTGGCTCACCGGATGCCCAGATAGTAGTTAAATGTTATTTTGGGTGTGTCTGGGAGGGTGTCTCCAGAAAAGATTAGCATTTAATTGGTAGACGGAGTGAAGCTGATGGCCCTCCCCAATCCACCAAGGGCCTGCCTAGAACCAAAAGGTGGAGGGAAAGTTGGTTTGACAGAGCTTTGACGTCAGTGTTCTGCTGCCCATAGCATAAGTGACCAGATGTCTCGCTTTTGGCAGGACAGTCCCGATTTTTAACAATTTGTCCCGCATCCCGTGGCGTTTTTTAAAAAGTGCCGATTTTTGGAAAGATTCTTGTCCCGCATCCCATGGAGTTTTTAAAAAAGTCCCGATTTTTGGGAAAAAAAATCCGGACTTTTTTTAAAATGACGCAGGACAAATTGTTAAAAATCGGACTGTCCCGCCAAAGAGGGATGTCTGGTCACCTTACCATAGCACCCTGGTTCTTAGACCTAAGACTCGGCCTGGAATCTGCCACATGACTCTGGCTCTGTGGCTCTTGGCCCTCGAACTGCACCACAGGCTCTCATATAGCAGACCATGGGACTGCTCAGCCTCCATAACCATATGAGTCAATACCTCATAAAAATAAATATAAAATAATATAAACTAGATAAGTAGGAATGCAGATGTCCTATCGGTTCTGTTTCTCTGCAGAACCCTAATGCAGGGTTTTGTGGTTGTTATTTGTCTAAGTAGGAATTTACTGAGTATTCATCCATTCATCTATTCACCCAGAAGTCAGTTATTGAGTGTCCTGGTTTTTAGATGTGGCCTTGCTCCCATGAGGAAAACGTATAACCAAATGAGAAATAGAGAAGCCAGAAAACAACCAGAGAACAGCTGAGGACCTAACGGAATAGGGTTTTTTTTTTATGCTCTCAGATGTGACAATTATCACACCTGAAGGGAGGAAAGAGATTCTCCCGCTCATTATGAATGACTCAAGAATGCATATATTCAAGTAATGTTGGCTTTCAAAGAATGAGAATGTGTGCTTATGTCAAATATCTTCTCATCACTCAGAAGGCCTTTAAATTATTATCATAGCTTCCATGCTGGCAGGTCCTGGGCTTTAAAGGTTGAGAGAGTACATTTGGCAAATAGCCGAATACCGTTCAGACCCAAGTCTGGTGGAAAACATAACCCCAGCTGCATTGAAATGGACTGAGAGTGAGGTGTGACTGTGGCGTGAGGATACTCGTTTCTCCCACGTGGCTCCTGAGCCGGCTCTGAAGGTATTTCCAAAGAGGAGCTGGTTCAGACCTGTGCCTGTCCTCACCCCACGCCCACTCTTCCCCTGGGGAGTTGAGAGAAGCCTGGGACCCAGCGCCCCTCTCTCCTCCACTCTCCTGGGTGATCTAGGAGAGCCTCCTGCAGGCCTCAGCCATCAAGCAAAGATCTGCATTCGCGCCTCTTCTCCATTCTCTTCCCCTGCCCCTCCTCTTCCTCCATCCTCACTCCCGATGTGAAACAGAGTCCTGTGGTCAGAGACCAGACACTTGACTAGAGGAACGCAGCCCACCGTCATCCTGGACACTGGCGTGGAGCGCTCACTTCCCACTGGGAAGAGCTGCAGGAAGACCTGAGTCTCACTCTGCTTCCCATAGGTTTCTAACCACACACATTCACTGGGGTCCTATTTGTGCCAGGCATTGTGCTGGCTCCTGTCAGGGACGGACACAAAAGCATCAGATCCCATTCCCACTACAATCATATAACACAACAGCATATAACACAACAGTCTTTAACGGGCCATTCCAAACAATGAAAGCAGACATGATACGAGACGTTTTTTATTCTTGGATAAATAATTAGTACTGAAAGCCAGAGGGTAGAGGCTGGGTGGTCAGGGAAGACTTCTTGGAGGAAGTAGGATCTAACAGGGTCTTTTACTGTTAATTAACATTTTTCGTTTTGACATTATCGTAGGTAACTCCCTTCTCCCTCCCCTCTTTGCCCACCTCCACCCGTCCCCATCTAACCGGGTCTTGAGAGAGAGGGAGAATTTGGGAGAGCTGAAGAGGAGAGGAAATAACAGAATCAGAAAACAGTGCTGGGAGGGCAAACCTACGGTCAAGGCGCACCTGTGTGTAACTCTGGTGTTTGTGAACCTCTGGTTCCTGTCTCTTTCCAGGCTCGTCATTCCTTGCAGGTATCTTAGCATGATCTGAACTTGGTCTTCAAACAGAGGCTTTCTCCTCCCAAACATTCAGACCTAATGGCTCTATATTAGTTACGATTCTGTTGGTTGCATGTGACAGAGAGAGTCAATACAAACTAACTTGATCAGTAAAAGTGTTAATTGTCTCTTATATTAGGGAAGTCTAGGCATAGAAGTACATTAGTTTGCAAAGCATTAAGGCGCAACTGGCTCTAAAAATATTGCAGGACGCCCTGATCAATTTTGGCTCAGTGGATAGAGCGTCGGCCTGCGGACTGAAAGGTCCCAGGTTTGATTCCCGTCATGGGCATGTACCTTGGTTGTGGGCACATACCCAGTAGGGGGTGTGCAGGAAGCAGCTGGTCGATGTTTCTAACCCTCTGTCCCTCTCCCTTCCTCTCTGTAAAAATAATAATAATATTAAAATTAAAAAATCAATAAAAAGAAATAATAATATTGCAGGGCTCTGTTTGCGCTCCGTTTTCTACTCTACTGAGATCCACTTTCTAGGCTGGCTGGCTTTGGGAAGTCAGGAAGCCGGCTGCTGGCAACCCTAGATTCATATTCTCTGAGCTTTTCAACCCCAGTGGAGAGAGGAAGTTTCCCTGACAAAGCAGGTACAAGAGCTTCACCGGTGGAGTCTCAAAATCGACTGGCACATGGGGACCAGGCTCCTGGTGCTGTGGGCGGGGGAGCCTGAGAGACTAAAGGACAACGTGGACTGCTCTGGGGAGGCCGTGCTGCACTATTCTAGAAAGCCTCAGCCTCTGTCTCAGTCTTCCCAGATGGTCATGTTCCCACTTCCTCCCGCCCCCAACAGCCAGCCTCTCTTCACAGGCAAACTGACCGCTAATGGCCAAGAGAGCCTGTGCAGGAAGCAGCTCTCTCTCTCTCCCAGGACCCTGCAGCGGGGTCAGCCACCAGATAAACACCCGAGGAGATGTGGCGTTTCAGGAGAGGGATCTGGATCGGAAGCCCCGGTTAGGCGGAGACCCCCTGAAAAACGCAAGCAGTGGATTTGGGGGTGAGCAGAACAGAACCCCGCTGCAGGCTGGCCTCACTGAAAGGGCGGGTGGCAGCTTCAGGACGGTGCGTGTCAACCCAGGAAGAGCAAGACTTCCCAGCCGAGGGCTGTCCTGGACTCCACACCGAGAGGGGACTGAAGCGTTTATTTCCACTTTGCTCATTTTCTGCTTTTGAATGCTCAGTCGGCAGCACAGTCTGGGATCCCAGACTAGGGAGCAGCAGCTTCCAGTCTCTCCAGGAAGGAGCCATAAAGGAGAAAAGAGAGCAGGGGCTGAGGGCAGTGCCACCCAACTGACATCTAGATGGTGGGAATTTTATTGCAGGAGCCGCTGGCCAACTACTGAGCACTTGCAATGTGGCTAGTGCAACTAAGGAACTGAATTTAATTTTTTTTTTTTTTAATCATTTCAGAGAGGAAGGAAGAGAGAGCGATAGAAACATCCATGATGAGAGAGAATCATTGACTGGCTGCCTCCTGTAAGTCCCCCACTGGGGATCGAGCCCACAACCTGGGCCTTGACCAGAATCAAACCTGGGACCTTTCAGTTCCCAGGCCGATACTCTATCCACCGAGCCAAACCGGCTAGGGCGAGATACTGAATTTGTAACTTTATTCCATTGAAATGAATTTCCATTCCAATAGCCACGTGTGGTTGGTGGCTCTGTGTCAGACACTGCGCCTTCGAGAACATCCTCCCTCCACCCACCTCGGGGCTCGGGCAGGAGCGGCAGGACAAATTGGAACGGAACATCTCCATCCGCCATCCGCATCAGGAAAGGCAGATGGTGGGGAATGGGAAGCAGGGAAGACCCCTGGTGTCAACCTCCTTCCTAAACACGGACATCAGCAGCCGGAACGCTGGCAACTGTCTGCACCCGGCCTCCCCCTCTGAGAGCCACGGCCTCTGGAAAGCACCTCACACAGGGCATCTGAGGCGACCAGGTGTCCCCAAACCACAGGACAGTGAGGAAGGAAATAGCCCAATAGGGAGCGCCCCCGCCCCCGCTGACCCCAGGGTTTTGGAGAGCCCACATCCCACACTCCTCCTCCACGGTGAGAAGTGTCTCACGCTGTGCCTGAGGACCCCAGCTCAGAGGTCCGTGAAGGACCAGGTCCCGTGGGATGTCAGCTCCACATGTGTTGACTGAGTGCCTCCCGGATCATCAGAGGAAAAGCTGGACTTAAATGATTTCCTGTCCAAGAACAATCTGTCACCTAACACAGTGGGAAACCATCCAAGCCAGCCAGCGGGAGTCACGGGGCTCCACCCACAGCCTCCAGCCTGAAAGGGACCCGCGGGGCCTGGGTAGCTCAGTTGGTTAGAGCCTCATTCCGCTACACCAAGGTTGCCGGTTTGATCCCTGGTCAAGGCACATACAACAATTAACCAATGAATGCATAAGTAAGTGGAACAGCAAAGTGATCTCTCTCTCTCTCTTTCTCTCTCTCTCAAAAATAACAATAAAAAAAAAATCAGGGCAGACCTGGCTGGTTTGGCTAACTGGAGAGAGCATCAGCCTGCGGACTCAAGGGTCCCAGGTTCGATTCGAGTCAGGGACATGTACCTTGGTTGCGGGCACATCCCCAGTGGGGAGTGTGCACGAGACAGCTGATGGATGTTTCTAACTCTCTATCCCTCTCCCTTCCTTCTGTAAAAAAATCAATAAAATATATATATATATATATTTTTAAATCAGGGCAGATTTGGGAAATGACCTCCCTAAATAAAGTAAACTGTTGCTAATACGGGAAGGTCCCCTATGATTCACCCAAATAGAGTCTTCCCACAGGGGCAGCCTCTGTAATTGGGAATTCACTTCCTTGCATTAAGCAAACCCTCAACGTGTGTCATCTAATATGCAAGTAGTCCTGGGAGGGCCGCCTATTAAGTGGCTGACACCTAGGTGCCACCCACTTTTATCAGATCGCTGCTTTCCCGTGTGTCAGGAAGGGTGAGCCAGCTCTGGTTCTCACAAGGATGGGCCCAAGGCAGCTGCTGTGGCCCAGGCCAGCCCCGCCTGGCAGGGGAGTGGGCGGCAGCTAAGCTTTCCTCACTGCCTGGCTCCCATGGTCACCTGTGACCAAAGCACTTCTCCAAGGCCATGAGGCTGATGGACGGCAACAGTGGAGAAGGCCGAGGCGTCTGGCTGTGCCTGGCTGGCAGCAGGCGCCACCCCTACCCAGCCCCCAGGCCCTCACCTGCCCAGAGTGTGTGAGGAAAGGAGGCCACCGGCAGAAAGATAACCATTAGTGCATTATTTGCTTTGTGTCTGTCTCCACCACATGACTGCAGGCTCCCTGAGGGCCCGGCCTGCCCCGGCTTGACTACACTGGGCCCTCCTTCCCGGCATAGTGCGTGGCAGGTCACATGTGTCTGGTGACTGTTGACTACGTGAAGCAACAGGCCAATGCATGAGCGCTGTGCTCTTTGGTTGGCAAACACCCTTCTCCTCAGCAGATCTCCGACTTACTCGTCACTGACCTGCCACGCACAGGCGGTGCTGGCTCATCCCACGTGGACGGAACCCAATGGAAACACAAAAGATGTGTCTTCAGCCACGGCCCGGGTCTCCTGAGTTGGCGGGTGACTGGTGCCCTCGGTCTGTGTGGGATTGCCCATCGGACGTCTCGCAGCCTGAGGCGGTAGAAGTGGGTGCCTGTGGAAGAGGAAGGGTGACCCTGGTGCCAGGAAAAAGCAGCTTTTTTTGTGTCCATTTGGCGCCATTTACGGTATTAATGGATATGTTCATAC